CTAAAGTCTCTTTATTTTTTCCACATTTGTCATTGAATCCTAAGAGGATTACTTTTCAACAGAAATAGTAAATGCTTGTTAATTTGTTATTTATTTCCATAACTGTTATGGCAATAACATAAGCTTACTTACTAAGAATGAAAATACTTAGTAGATTAAGACCTATTTAATTAGACCTTCATTTTTAAGAATCCCAGCAAATGATTATATTCCAAGCACAACAGAATCTCTACTTGGAAATATTTGTAAAAGTTATCTTGAATTAGTATATGTACACGGAATTAGTAAATCTGCATTTAAAAACCCAGACTTTTCATTAATATACATAAGAGCTTTCCTCTAATTAGCTTAATTACTTAAAAGTATGAAAATACTTATAGGTTTAAAGTTGTTTCATGGTAATCATCCTTTTATTTTAAATGAAAAACAGAGCCAAAATATGTATTATAAAATACTTCAGTAACTCTATCCCTTAATAATTAAAACTCTAACTTATAAAATCCTCATTATTTGATTTCAATTAATTTATTTCAGTGATGTATAAGACTTCACATAAAAGTAGTAAAAATACTATGACATGATATATAATGAGTTTATAGTCCTAATTAAAAATATAATTAATTCATTAACATATAGTTTAAAAACCATAATACTTGTGCCAGAGAAACTGCTTAATTTATAAACACCAGTTCTGTCAATTTTCAGTTTGTGAGAATTGTGACCTCCTGTACAGAAGATCTAACAGATGGATACAATTAAACATTCTATTATCAAATTGGCATTTATTCCAATAAGTTCTTCAGTGTGAAGCTTGTTGCAGTCCCAGCTGTAGTCCCGAATAATAACCTGTTATATGCAATACATAGAATCCTAAAATTTACCTCAAGTTTAGCATCTAGTTCAGCATCAGATGCCACCACGTGCTCATCCTCCTTTTTTCCTGTTGCTTTGATAAAGACCTGTTTAGTTTTCCAGTATTTCTTTTGCATTCTGCTGACTACTGACTGGTTATCCTCTGGTTTGGGTTGCCCATAGGAATCCATGGAATGACTACAAGAAACAGATAAAAATTAAAGTTATTAAAAAATATATTTTCAATAATAAATATCTATTTAGCCAATATTTAATCTAATCTAAAAACTAAAAAGATGCTAATAGAATATTAATGTTAACAGCTAAACATGGTAATGTTTGCTTTGTATGATCTAAATTTATAATTATAACTTCACAAGTATAGGCAAAAAGATTAATGATATTTAATTTCAGTTAGTGACAAAGGGGATAAAACTGCTATGATTTTGCAATAATGGCTGAAAATAATTCTATTTTATCTGACCAGTTTCTATTTTATAGATATTTATTAATTTCTAATTTTTGCTTTTGTAATAATACTATAAAATGAACCTGTAAACACATCTTGGCGTACTACTATCATTTCCTTAGGAAAACTTCTTGTAGTTATAACTTATGTCAGAAAAATACACATTTAATAAATATCCTCAGATATACAAAGATTCAGATACATACTCTTTAAAAATCACTTGAAAAAATACTTTAGTATCCAATAAACAAACAAAAATAAAGATCTTAGGTATAGGAAAGATCTGTTATGAAAGAGAGATGGAAACTGTAACCTATACGCTTAAAAATTAATGTCAAAGTCATTGTTCTTAACATGGTTAACATGGCTGTATAAAAACATACATGTGAACAGTGTTCCTTAATGACAGTAAAAAAAGAAATAATAATAGTGTTAAAAGCTCAAATTATTCCAGTAAATGGTGGGAGGTAGGAACAAAGGGAGGTACAAAGTATGTGACTCATTCCTCATTTCCAGTGGCATCAACAGAGACTAACATATTCTTAATGTTAGTAAAAGAAACAGGGGTTCACTTTATTTTGAAGTAATTACTAATTAAGTAAAAACAGGATGTCTAATTTATAAATCATTAGGGGCAAAATAAGAGAGCAAGAAAAACTAGCAAAAGCAAAAAGCAGGGTGGGAAAATAAGAATAAGGCAACATAATAAACTGTATAAATTAAGATAACAGAATAAAAACAATTATATTATTTCGTACGATAAATGCAAAATTCCTCTTAAACACAAAGAACCTCAAATCATAAAAACAAGAAACTATATCCAACTACATATTTGGTATCCACCTAAAACATCATTATACTGTTATAATGCATTATACAGTATTATACAGAACACACAGCATTATACTGTTCTGACCGTCTTGAGGGAAAACTTCCCCTCAATTTATCTCAGCTTTTGATTGCTCTTGACTGTTTTTTGATTAGTTCCCCCTCCCTCCAGATTGTTATTAGCATGAGAGTCAGTCTACTTGTATGGCAAACTGCTGATCTCTTCTACTAAGCTGACAGCAGGCTTAGGCCCAATCGGTTAAGAGAACAAAATTCTAGGAAGTATCAGAAGTGAATATCTCTTCCCTGCTTTGACTTCCATCCTGACATAGCTCAAACAGCACTCTTCTGGCCTCTCTCCACTCCCTATCTCCTTTGAGGAGGAGAAAGAGTAACTTATCTGATTGGATTTCAGAGCAATAAACTGTCTTCCTTTTTCTTTGTGGAAGCTATGCTACCTGCAGAGAATACACAATCCCTGGCAAGGGGAAGACAGTGGCTGGGTGGATAAATCTGCAAAAGGTGAGATTTGCACAGTTATGGTTTTTGGACTGAGGGCACTGCTAAGTATGTTTTCTAATGGGACAGAAAAATATCTGAATAAAACATTCCAAATTTTGTAAATGACAACTTATACATTGATAAGTCCAAAGAAAAACACAAATAGACACACTAGGGACAAAATGCTTAAATCTAAAGATAAAGAGAAAAATCCATCTTGAAAGCCAAGAAAAATCGCATATTACAGGTGAACAAAAATACAAATGACAAGCAAGTTCTCAAAAAAATAAAAGCCAGATTACAATGGAAGGACATATTTAAGATGTTAAACTAAAGAAAAAAAACTATCAATACATAATTCTATCTATTGAAACTGTCCTTTAAAATAAAAGTAAATAAAGACATTTTCAGATAAAGAACAGAGAAGTCATGGCCAGGGGACTTTCAGAAATGCTAACAAATTCTTCAGGCTCCAGGGAAATTACAACAGTAATTTGGATCTGGGTAAATATAGGACAATTTTTTCTTAAAAATTTTAAAAATTATAGTTTAACATATACAGACAATAAAATGATAGCTCAATTTTCAATGTTCTGCTGTTTCTGTATCATTTATACGTTCACCTATTCCCTACCACCTCACTCCATCATCATCATTACATGGTTCTTTTTGGTAATATTTTCGTACATTAAAGTGTACAATTTTTAGCGGTATACTTTTGACAAATGGATATTATGGTACAGAACATTTCAAACTCCCCAGAAAGTTCCTTTGTATCTCTTTTCAGCCAATGCCTGGCCTACTAAAAGTAATAAACTTCTGATTTTTTTCACCTTAGTTTTTACTTCTCTAGTTTGTTCTTTATTACTGAATAGTAATCTATTGTATGAATGTAACGGTATGTTTTCATTTTTGACTATTGTAAATAAATGAACATGCCTACCCAAGTCTTTTTGTGGACAAATGTGTTTATTTTTCTTGGATAAAAACCTAGAAATGGATTTTCTCTGTCAAAGGACTGATGTATACTTAACTTTATAAGAAATTGTTATTTATATTCCAATTAGCAATGTATGAGAGTTTTAATTGTTCCACCCCCTCATTAACATTTAATGTTGGCAATGTTTTTAGTTTTATCCACTCCAGTCATTGGGCCGTGTCATTTCCTGTTGACTTTAATGGGTATTTTCCTGATCACTGATGATGATTACTTTTTCATGTGCTAATTGACCATTTGTATATCTTCCATTGTTAACTGTTTGTCTTTTGCCAATTATTAAATTGGGTTGTCTTTTTTACTATTGAGTTGTAGATTTCTGGGATTTAGACTGGGATGGCATTGAATCTATAGACCAATTTGTGGAGGATTGACATCTTAACAATATTGAGTCTTTCAATTCATGAACATAGTATGCATCTATATTTATTTAGGTATTCTTTAATTTCAGCAGTGTTCTGGAGTTTTTAAATTAGAGGTATTGCATATCTTTTGTTTTATTCCTAAATATCATGTTTATTGATGCCATTATAAACAGCCTATCTCCTAGTCTTACCAAAAGTCTTTCCATCCGCATATTTTACTATACCAAATTCCATACTTTTTATTTCTCAGTGTTCTCACCATTACATGAAATGTTGGGGTCTTTGAGGAGACCCGATAAATGTTATCACTTTTCCTTGCATTAGTCTCAACAAGAAACAAATAAGGTGTGGTAGCTGGAGGCCAAAATACCATTTTCATTACGATGGTGGCAAAGCTTGTGGATATAGCTTAGTGTGAGAGCTAAATAGTTCCTCCTACGTGAGCATCAAGACTACACAAATTCGCCAAACCTTCAAAGGTAGGTGGATCATGGTATGTGAAGAGGAAGAAGGATGGCTCACCATTATTTCTTTTATCCTATACTTTCTTTCTTTGCTTTTGCAAAGGTCCGTTCTTTAATAGTTCTAGTGAATCCTGTGGGTAGAAAATTCTTAGTCTTGCTATCTATGATACTCGATTTTGCCTTCATTCATAAATGATAGTTGAATTGTATATAAAAATCTAAATTGACAATAATTTTTCTTAATTTTTCTTTTTTAAGATATCATTATTGGTCCATATAAGACTTATTTTCTTATGTTTGTTCATTTACTTGTACATGCATTCATTTTTTAACCCCTTCTTCATTTCTAGCACCTCATAATCATTGTGTTTAATGTGCCTTTTTATTTGAATATGTTCCTGTAAAATGTGTTATGTACATATTCTAATCTAGAATATGTCTGTTTGTCATGTTTGTTGCTTTTAGTTTTATATCCCATATATGTGTGAAATCATATGGTTCTCAACTTTTTTGTCTTACTTTGCTTAGCATGATTATCTCAAGATTCATCCATGTTGTTACAAATGGCAGTATTTCATCTTTTCTTATGGCGAGTATCCACTGTCTATATAACACAGCTTCTTTATCTAATCATCTATCAAAGGACTTTTTAGGTGTTTCCATGTATTGGCCACTGTGAATAATGCTGCTATGAACATCAGGGTGTCTATATCTTTGCAAATAAATATTTTCAAGTTTTCTGGGTAAATACCCAGAAGAGGGATTGTTGGGTCATATAGTAATTCTAGTCTTAATTTTTTGAGGAACTTTCCATAGTGGCTGTACCAATTTACATTCCTATCAGTAGTGTATGAGGGTTCCTTTTCCCCCACATCTTCTCTAGCACTTGCTATTACTCATCCTATTGATGATAGCCATTCTAACAGGTGTAAGGTGGTATCTCACTGTAGTTTTGATTTGCATTTCCCTAATAGCTAGTGAAGTTGAGCATCTTTTCATATGTCTGTTCACCATTTGTATACCTTCTTGGGAAAAGTGTCTGTTCAGGTCCTCTGCCCATTTTTTAATTGTTTTTTTTTTTTTTTTTTTTTTTATTGTTGAGTTGTATGAGTTCTTTGTATATTTTGGATACTAGGCCCTTATCGGAGGCATTGTTTGCAACTATCTTCTCCCATTTGAATGGCTCCCTCTTTGTTTTGTTGATGGTTTCTTCTGCTGAGCAGAAGCTTTTTAGTTTGATATAGTCCCGTTCATTTATTTTTACTTTTACTTCCCTTGACTCTGAGGTCAATTTCATAAAATCCTCTCTAAATCCAACATCCATGAGTTTAGTACCCATGTTTTCTTCAATGCAATTTATTGTTTCAGGTCTTAAATTCAAGTCTTTGATCTATTTTGAGCTAATTTTGGTGCATGGTGATAGAGCACTCTAGTTTCATTTTTTGCATGTAGCTTTCCAAGAAATGGCACATTTCATTATTCCAGTTTTATAGAGGAGATTGCTGAGGCTCTGTAAAATTAAGGGAAATTTCTCATGGATACAAAAACATTATGAACATTCTGATACTCAGCACACATCCAGGTCTTTTGACTCCAAAAGTAGCATTCTTTTCCATTTTGAAGGTTAGAAAAATATGTTTCAAATTGTCTCCTATCTTACAGTGAGTTAAGTTAAACATACAGTATTAATTTTCTAATTTGAACCTACAGGTTTCCAAGGATTAGGTAAATAAATAAGGGTGTCACTTATAAGAATGAAAGAGAGGCAGGTCATTAACAAAATTGACAAGTCTATATTGCAAACTACATTTGAATTTCTTGTTACTGTAAGATTTATTTTATATACATATTCTATAATTTTAGTATTCAGTATAATTTTAGTCTATAAAGCGGAGGATACATGAAAAAAGAAAAGTTAGATTTTATTTTTCTCCAAAAAATTATATGGTTCAGGATTATTATCTACTTTTCAGAATTTCTGACATATTTAAGAGTTTACTATAGGCATATAATTTACTTATACCACTTCAGTCGTATCATTTCATAAAGAACATATGGGTCACATTTAAAATAGATTATTATAAAAATAAGATTTGAAAAATGTTGATGAAATAGTTAAGACCATTCAAAATATAAATACATTAGGGAAGAAGAAGTGAACTAGAGAAGAGAATATTTTCTCTTTTTGAAAGAATAGCTGAAAACTATATTTCAAATGTTTTTGAGTTTAAAGTGTCAAACACTAAATTCTTATGTTAAACGATATTAAAGCTAATCCCCTATGAAACTTTAGAATTATATTTCCAACTTTATTGCAAATTTAGGGCCAGAAATGCTAATGAGAAACGCTTCTATTACCGCTCAGAATATCGGAAAGACTCACCATCTGGAAGTGGAAGGAGGATTCATTGAAGTCTGTATACAACTGGCTGGACCCTGAGGTCCCTCCCTAATCTGTGAAACACAGTGGAAGTTGAAGAAACCAAACCAGGAACACTCTGGACTTGGGCACACCAACACAGCAGAGGGCTTGACCTGAAAACGAAAAGATTACATGAAAGTTAAGACACACTGAATCATTGAATAATCTAGCTCTTTTCTTCTTCCTTATTCACGAGTAGCAAAATTCACAAAACACATTCCTCAGAAAAGACTGGAAAAATTTTTAAATTCTTTTTCTCTGGAAAAATTAAAAGCTCCAGAGAAAAGGAGTATGTCATTTGAGTACTCTAAAACGATGTCTTTGCCTAGTCACATGAGAGCAAAACTCACCAGCTAACAACCTCACTCATATATACAAAACTTCCAATTAGCTTTGTTATAATCTTATTCTTCAATACAAATGGAGACTCAAAGATCTCCAGATAATCTGAGGAAAGTCTCCATCAAAAGAGTCCTCTGACCTAAAACAACAAATAAGAAAACAAAAAAAATAAAGGTAAAAGGAAACAAGGACAATATAGGGAGCAAAAGAAAACAAAGCACAACCTTGTAACTAATATTCTCAGAAAGAGAAAACACTGATTCTATGGCGGGGGGTGGGGGGTACAGATTACCACTAAGAAAGAAATAACAGAATAAAAAAGACCCTTGGGCAAAAAAATAGGACAGCTGAATTTTTAAAAAATTTAATAAAAAGGTTGAAAAATTTTAAAAAATCTCGGAGAAGAGAACCTTAAATAAGGTAAGAAAATATAAGACAGTTCCAGGAACTCTAATAGTTGACTAAGGAGTATTCTAAAAATTGCCTAAAGGAGGTAATAATTGAAGAAACTTTTCTTAACTAAAGGACACAAATCTCCATACAAAAAGAGATTTACTCCAAAATACATCATTGTGAACTTTCAGAAAATTAGGGATAAAAAGATCCTGAAAGTTTTAAGAGAGAAAAAAGGTCACATATAAAGCATTGGGAGTCAGAATAAGAGCAGATTTCTCAAGAGTAGCAATGCAAAATAGAAGATCAAAGTCCAACCCTGGAGAGCAAGGAAGCGAAGGCCCAAGATGACAGCTGTGCAGAACATGGAGCCCATATTTAAGCAGAAGATGAAGAACTCTGGAAAGAAAAATCTCTAGGAAATATAACTGATATGTTTGAGCAATCAGAAAAAAAATCAATGGTATTCAGAAAATTAGGTAATAAACAACAAAGCCATTATTACGTCCAATAAAAATGAAGAGAAAGGATATTCAAAAAAAGGAGGAATGGTTATTGGGCACTACTGACAAAGTTGTGTCAATACATAATAGTTCACAGTACCATAAACACTTACTTGATTTAATAAAAATTATAACATGCCTATATTGGGGGAGGACAAATGGAGATAGTAGTGGTGAAGGAGAGCTGAATCCTCATCTACCATATGGAAAGAAAATAAGGCCTTAAATTAATAAATCAAAACACAGCATATAAACATGAGTCAGAAGTATGGCAGAAAATACCAGAGGAAGAGAAGGCTTGAAGGTAGGCGCCACTGTAGACTGGAATTGGGGCAGAAATGGGAGGACTGCTTTTATACATTATAATCCTTTAATGTTGGACTTTTAAGCCATGTACAACTTTAATAAAATAACAATTATTTCAAGAAATAAATCTGAATATGAACCTTACTAATTAAAACAGAACAAGACTGACACCAAAAGAGAGCAGTGAAACAGAAAAAAAAAATCCATAGAGAGACCAAAAATTGTAAAAGAATATAGCATATCGATTTCCTATGGTTGCTGTAACAGACTTGGTGGCTTAAAACATGAGAAGTCTACAGCCATGCTACCCTGAACAAGCCCAATCCCGTCTGATCTTGGAAGCTAAGCAGGGTCAGGCCTGGTTAGTACGTGGAAGGGAGACCACCTAGGAAGACCAGGTGCTGTAGGTGTAAAAAAAAAAAAAGAAAGAAAGAAAGAAACAAGAGAAATTTATTCTCTCATTGTTGAGGCCAGAAGTCTGAATTCAAGGTATAAGCAGGGCTTCACTCTCTGGGAGGCACTTGGGGAGAATATGCCTTTTGCTCTTCCAGCTTCTGGTGGCTGCTGGTAGTCCTTAGCTCGTCGCAACGTCACTCCAATCTCTGTATCTGTCGTCATATCACCTTCTCCTCTGTGTATGTGTTTAATCCCCCTCTGCCTGTCTCTAAAATAAGGACATTTATGATGGCATTTAGGACTCTCCCAGGTAATCCGGAATAATCTCATGTCAAGATTATTAACTCAATCGCATCTGCAAAAACTTCACTTTATGAAGTAACATTCACAGATTCCAGTAATTAGGACCTGTTATCTTTTGGGGTCACATTAAGCTCACTACAATTAATGTAGAATTTCAAATCAGTAGAAAAGAGATATATTATTCAATAAGTATTGTTGGGAAAATGAACCACCTATTTGAAAAAAGTGTTTGATTCTTAGTCAATGTAAAGATGGTTTAAAATTTAAATGTTAAAACCTTATAACAATATCATGTGAAAATATAGATGAATGTTTTAAAAATCTGGGATCAGAAACTCCTATAATGTAATACCAGGCATGGAAATTATGTAGATCATACAAATTTTAAATTTATATAACAAAATGGCCCATAAGTAACTTTAAAAAGAAGTGGGTAAGGTAAGAAGAAAATTTAATTTTTTAAAATGAGAGAACCCATAACTAAATAGTGAAAATACAAAGTCACCAATTGAAAAGTAAGGACAAAATAAGAATAGGCAATTTACAAAAGAACTTCAAAAGTCTAATGAATACACAAAAATATTATTTAATCTATTTTGTAACTGAAGATACATAAATTAAAGAAAAATATGTTCATCTGTCAGTTGGGCAATGATTAAAACTGTTAATAGCTTCTGGGAAAGATGGAATGAGTGCATGTTTGCATAATTCCCTTTACTGACTAAAATATGACCAAAACTAGAGAAGGAAACTCCTGTGCAAAATGGCCACACCTCTTAGCACTGATGCCAGTGAATAAATGTCAGGTACAATGAAATCTGCATCATATTTAAAGAGGCTGTCCAAATCTGACTCACATTTCCTCTAATATCCAATAGATCTGATTTTATCAAACTGAATGGGTCCTGAAGAACAATTCTAATAATCATCACTAACTTGAAAACATGAGTCCTTAAAGGTGTAGACACCAGATTTACAGAAGAAGCATATAGCACTCCACTTGGTGCCTATCTCCCTATCACAGGCGAGCAAAGAAAACTGCTGAAGAAAGGATCGTGATGATACATACATACCCTCCAACAGCTCTGTCAATAAAAAGGCTGATATTCTATCTCCATCTGCCTAGATCCTTTGACTACACCTGAATTAGTTCCAATCTCAGGAGAAGACAAAAAAGATGAGAGGTACTATGTATTGGGCTCCTTAAAACCTACAGTAGCTAGAATATTTTTTATTTTTCCTGAAAAAACATGGCTAGAGAAACAGAAACAGCAAGCTGGTAGTTGATTCTGCACAGCAGAATAAAGTAGACTAATAAGAGATATATCAGAATTGACCTGCCTCTGAAACCAATGATTAATACATGCTGTGGGAAACTGCTTAGAAACAACGTATGAAAACTGAGTCATCAAGCAGCCAATAAAGAGAGATCCCATTAATGTATCTACTCTCCTAAAGTAGTTATTCCAATGGAAGGGGGTTGTGAAGACTCAACTATATCATTCTTGGGCAAAGAGGAGGCCAGAATAGATCCACCCCTTTCAACAATAAATAACATACAGAATAAATAACATGAAAAAGTAGCACTCTAAGAAAATAAGGAGGAACATAATATGAGAAAGAAAAAATATATACATTTGAAGAATACTTTATAAAATAGAAGTTTAAAGAAAAACTGCTCTGTATGCAGATGAATAAAACAAAATTCCATAAAACAGATTTTTCAAAAAGAACTGAAGGAAACAGAAGATAAAGAAAAAAATTCCACAGAACTTGAAACCACATTAGAAACACTCCTAGTAGGACAGATACTTCAGAAAACCAAATTAATAACATGGATGACAAGCCCAGGAAATCATTCAGAATGAAAATTACAAGATAAAGGTGGCTGGATTTGAATAAAGTGGTTAGACAGAACAAAGATGATAGATTTGGAAGACTAACAATTGAGATCTAACATAAGTAATATTCTTGAACAGAGAGAGACAGATATATAAAATGGTTAAAACATTCAAAAACATAAAGGGCTCATCATGTTCCAGAATAAGAGAATGATTAAAACTAAGATACATTACGGAATGCTGCTGAATTTTAAGGATAAATAAAAAATGCTATTAGCATGTAGACAGAAGAAACAGGGCCACCTAACAAATTAAATAGTGTAGCTGGCCTCAGACATCTCCTCAGCAACATTAAATAATGGATTAAATTGAGTACTCTACAGTGCTTAGGGAAAAAGAATATTACATGGAATTTTCTACTTAGCTAGAATATAACTTAATGGATATATAACATTCCATTGTATGGATGTACTATAGTTTATTTAACTGGTGTACTATTTATGGATATTTAAATTGTTTCCAGAATTTTATTTAAAACTATGCTGCAATGAATAAACATATATGTATTATTTAAAATATATTCATGTATGCTGTCATTAAAGAATTAAAAAAAAGATATAGTTCAAAATAACAAAAAACAAAATAAAATAAAATAATATATATGCACATATACTTGTAATATACTTGTAAGATAAATTCCTGGAAGTAGAATGGCTGAATCAAAAGATAAATTCCTGGAAGTAGAATGGCTGAATCAAAAAAAAAAAATTAAATATTTTTCATTTGCGAAGTTGTCCTCCACAGAGATCTAATTTTCATTCCCACCAGTAATGTAAAGTGCTAGTTCTCTACAATTCACCAACGCACTGTGTTATTAAATTTTCTGATCTTTTCTGACCTTATAGATAAAAAATTATTTTTTGGTAAAGTCATAATTTGCAATTATCATATTTCATTAATTGAAGACACCATCATTTGAAAGTTGCATTATTATTTTATGTACCTCTATATGAGAAAAAGAGCTACAAAGTCAACTACGCTTTTAAATCATAAAATTGTCAGATACACAAAAAGTTCAGATTTCAGAAATGATTTCAGAGATGTGAAAATATGAACAGGTGCTTCTTAGGACCAATGAAATACAGTATTTGAGCAAGGATCGGTGCCCAGAAAGACTTCTTTCAGATAGGCAATAATCAGAAACACAGCACTCACAAACTCTTATAAAACAAATAAACCAAAACAACAAAAAAATTATTTGAAGCCACAATCCATACAACTAAAATATATTTAAAAATCAAGAATTTATAAAATGGAGAAATGGTGAAAAGGGTTAAATCTAAATGTGTTTATAACAAAGCAGAAATTATAACTGTTAATAGGTACATAATGTAAAAATAAGAACAATTTGATGAAAATAATTTTATCTTTTTAAAAATTTATTTATTTATTTAATTGAAGAAATGATTTAACATTTTTTTTAAATAAAAATTTAGGACAAACCATTAAAATGTTAGCAAGAAATGTATGATAAATTCTTCATCTTTCATGCTTAAAAGGTATTTAGTAAATTTAACATCTATTCTTGATGTTTTAAAAAATCTTTCAATAAAACATAAATGTATGGCTTCTATCTTAATAGGGTGCATACGTCCCCCCACACACACTCTTACATGCAAATGCCACCAAAATGCTTATGGTAAAATACCAAAAATATTCCCATTAAAGCGAGGAACAATACCAAGGAAGCCACCATTATTTTATTAAGCATTGTTCTAGATGAGTTCAATGATACAGTAGGACTTAGAAAGGAAATGAGGGATTAAAATCAACATGTAGGAAGCTAAATTATCATTTTATACATAATGTCATAGTATACCTGAAACACTTAAGACAATTCACTGAGAAATTATTAGAAGCAAAAAGATGTTTTAAGAAGGTAGCTGGTTATAAAATTAATATATAAAAGTGGGCAGTTTTCCTATTAATTTCTGAAATATAGTTGGAAAATAAAATGCAAAAAAATATTCAGCCCAATTACAATTACTAGAAATAAATTCAACACCAAATAACTTATACAAAGAAAACTAAAAACACTACTAAAATAAAAACTCTAAGAGGTCATTTCTCTAAATTAACCTATGCATTCAATGTAATCTAAATCATCAGCAAGAGGTGGTTTGCAATTATTTTTAAAAACATAAAATGAGTTGAAAATTCATTGGGAAAACAAATATAAGGATAACCAGAAAAAAATTGGAAAATAAGAGTAATAGTTTGTAAAGCAATATTAATTAAATCAGTACTGTACTGGGCTTCCGTTTCCACTTCAGAAAGTTGTAAAAGAACATCACTCCCATCCTAACAATGAGAATAAACTAGATAATCTACAAAATTATGTGTTTTCTTAAAGCCCATCGGAGAGCTGAGGATGCAAAAAAAAGTTAACTAAAATCCAGAAAGTAACTAGCCCTTCTTAGGACTGAAGAAGCCCATGGCTGCTCTCATCTTTGGCAGAAAACAAGAAGAGGAGAAAGCTGCTCAACAAAATAATGGAGGGCAGAAAACAAGCAAACTACATCTTTAAGTCCTGGAAAAAAAAAGTTGGTCAAGAATTCAATATCCAATAGAAATATCCTTCAAAAATGAAAGCAAAATAAAGTTTTTAGCAGAGAAAAGTTGAAGGAATTTATACCAAGCAGACCTGCACTAGAAAAAATTTTAAACATTTTTTAAGGTGAAGGGAAATGTTAACAGATACTTAGTTCTACAGGAAATGAGAGAAACCAAAAAGGGTAAATATATTGACGAATACAAAGAAAAAATTTTAACGTACAAATACACATGCATCTTTAAATTTCACTAAAAGATTGATTCTTTAAATTAAAAGTAATAAAAATCTAAGGCATATGTAGGAGTAAATTATAACAGCATAAAAAGTGAGAAAGTAATTGGAAGCATAAATTATAATATTCTTACATTGCTGATGAAGAACTAGAATATATTTGAAAATAGACTGTGACAAATTCAAGATGTACATTGTACTCTCTAGCATAACTAATAAAAAAATAACACAAAGAGGCAAAACTAAAAAGAGAGGAGAATAGAATATTTTTTTAAAAACAATTCACCTAAAAGAAGGCAGGAAAGATGACCAAAGGGTAAGTGGTAAAATAAAAGAAAAAGAATATCAAAGAAGACCAAAGAGTAAATTGAAAAATAAAAAAAGGAACACCAATACACTTAATCCGAACACAGAAAAAATTACAAAAATATAAATGGATTAAATAACACTGTTAAAAAGCAGATTTTAAGACTTGTTTAAGATTTTAAACAAGTACAAATCAACTGTATGTGGTTTATAAGAAACACACTTTAAAAAATAAATACACAGACAAGTTAAAAGGAAACAGCTATACGAGGCAAACATTAAGCTTATATTAATGTAAGAGAAAACAGGATTCCAGGTAAAGATTTTCAGAGTTAAGATGCTATTTCATAACATAAAGGGGTCAATTTATAAAAAATAGATTGCAATCTTAACTGTGTATGTGACAAAGCTACCAAATACAAGAAAAAAATGAACAGAACTAAAGGGAGAAATAGATAAATCTACAATCATAATTAGAGACTTAACACTCCCCCTCAAGTGACAAAATCAGGAGACATAAAAAATGTGAAGATATAAAAGGTTTGAGCAACACTCTGAACCAAGTTGACCTAATTGACATTTATAGATCATTACACTCACCTCTGGCCAAAACCCATTTTTTTCCCCCAAGAGTAATGGGAACACTCATCTAGATCATAAGCTAGACAGAAAAAAAGACTCAATAAATTTAAAATTACTGAAATAACATGAAGTATGTTCTTTGACCACAACATCACTAATTTAGAAATAACAATGCTCTATCTAAAAAATTCGCAAATTGGAAATAAAATAACATATCTAAATAAATAATGCAATAAATCAGAGAAATTTTAAAATATTTTCACTAAATGATAATGAAAACATCCACATTTATGGGATGCAGCTAAAGCATGCTTAGAGGAAAACTTATAACTTTAAATGCCTTTATGAAAGAAAAAAAAGGTATAAAATTATTTATGCGTCAACCTTAAGAAGTTTGAAAAAGAAGAGCAAATTAGACCCAAAGTAGAAAAAATGAAAAAAAAAAAAACAGGCATAGGAGTGAAATAGAAAACAGGCCAATAAGAGAAAAAATCAAAGTCAGTTAGAGAAAAGCAACAAAGTTAAAAGTTGGTTCATTTGAAAAAACTACTAAAATGATAAGCTTCCAGCAAGACTGATCAAGGAAAAAAGAAAGAAAAATATGAATGAGCAACTCATAATTCAGGTGGGCAGGAAGAGAATGGGTATAGTAGTAGAAAAAGAACTTTAGCTTTACTGGAAATGTTTTATTTTAGTTAAAAAAATACTTGCAAGAAATGATACAATGTTGCCTATTAGTGGTAGTTTAGTCTTTGTTTTTATATATTTTTTAATCTAAAACTAATCAACACAAAAAGATTTAAAAAATATAAAGTGTTATTTGCAAACAAGTCAAGATGGCAAAACTCTACTGCTACTACTAACAATAATGATAATGAGTTACATAGAAAGTGACTTTTAATGGTGGATACTGCATTCAAGAAGATTGAAAAGTCTAACTACAAAAAAAAAACTTAATGGATGAATGAAAAACAGATAAAATGAAAAAAAAAGAACAAGGATATTAAATAACAAAAACCAGTTCCCATGAGAAAAATCTTTCCAGTTAGACATATTTAAGTCTTTCACTCGTCTCATTTGTTGCTGTTAAATAAAAAAAGAATAATATTTTAAAGAAGGCACAGTGAGTACTGAAAATAGTAAACTAAAAATAAAGAAAAAATATAGAATGTATCACGCAATGAAATCACAAATCTAATAACAATGTGGCTTCCTAGTTTTTCCACCGGGCTCATGTTTGCAGTTTTTGCACTTTGGACTGGCTGATCTCTCAGAGGCCATCTAAATCTAAAACTACAATGATTTTTCTGGCAATTACAATAACTAGTAATTAGAACAATGTCTTGCACATAACTGTTTCGATGGCTACACGTACAATCATTTTGCACTATTAAATACATACAGAAATTTCAAAGAATACTAGGTATGTTAGGCACAGACAACAAACATAAAACGATTAAAAATTTTTGTCGTATAAACATATATACATACCATTAGATGTTTACTTGGCCAATAAATGTATAATTAACTCCTACTAAAGGAAGAGGCACCTGTAGCTACTCCATAAATATTGATGTGAAGATGATTAAAGTAGTATCACCTTACAGTACGTTGTCTGAGTCAGAACCAAATAAAATACATAGAGAAAACTCAAAATGAGAGATAAATGTTATCTTCCCAATAAGTTATTTCACAGCGACCCAGTTTATAGCTTTTATGCTCTGTGCATCAAGATCATCAACTACATGAAAAACAATCCCACACGCTCTAATGGCAAACCCACAGCATCGCTGGTTAGTTGCCAGGATGGATTTTTTTATCCCTTCTCCATCTTTCTCGGAGCATCAGGTATCTGACCAATGACATCATTTGGGCAGCTGACCAGATGATCCGTGTTTCCACCAGCCGGATCCGTGAGTGAGGCTGGGTTCAAGGCCTCAGGCCCCAGGATTTGTGCGCGGAACTCGTCGGGAGCTCCTGCATCCCGCAGTTCTTAAACCGCACATTTACTTATGTTCTGTTTTTACCCATTACTTGCCACTCGTTCTGAAGAAGACATTCCCATGACAAAATAATGACATAAAAACAAGCGCAACATAAAAAGGAAGAAAGCACCTAAGAGCTGTGAGCATGAGCCTCTAATAGAAGGATCTCCACCTTTGAGAGAAATCACCCCAGGCAGCCTCGGGCCGCTGCGTACGTTCGCTACCGGGGCGAGCGTGGGTGGGAGCTCCTCTTGCCGAGAGGACGCAGCCACGCCAACACCCACTCCTTCCCGGTGCTGCCTGCGGAGCTCCGCCGAGGACCTCCTCCGGGAGGGAGGCCGCAAGGACCCGGGTCCGGGAGGGAACCGCGGAGGCCGGCGAGGCCCCGAGAGCC